GATATAATACAGTGAGCAGAACTCAAAAGATCAAGAAAAATTATCTCTTAAGAGAGTCAAGCAAAAAATAAAGGGAGAGGGATTGAAAATATAAGTTAGCAAAATTAGAAGACAAAGAATTACTAAGTGAGTCACCAGGGCTATCAAAGTCCAACAACTGATTCCTTTTGGACACTCAAGTCAGGTTTCAGTCGTTTTATTGCTATAGCTTCAGCAAACCTGAGAAGACTTGAGGTACTTTTTCTGTCATTTATTTTGAATGATTCAAGCACATCTACTCGGTTTCCTGTGTCAGTCAGGTGTTTGGTGATTGAAGAGCTTAAACAATTCGGTCCCTTTAACTGGAAGCTCCTTGGTACATGTTTGCAGAATCTGACGTAGACCCTCCTCTCTGTCCTTCCAATGTAACTGCTCCCGCAGATACATGTGAATTGGTATACATAGTTAGAGGTAACATGTGAGGGATACTTGTCAATCTTTGACTGCACTAGTGAGGAGGATTTTCATGGTAGAGAGACTAATGATGCTGCAGGATACGTCCCAGACAGGGCCGCGCTTAATCTTTTATTTACCATTCTCATAATGTCATCGCCCTTGTATTCGAGATTGATGAAAATAGGCTTCTTACTAACTGTAGCTGTATCCAGCTTTTTGAGTTCATTCTTGCCATTTGTGTTAGTGAAACTTTGTAGGTAACCATTTTCTTTCAAGCATTTTCAAGAAGCATTAGTTCCCTGTTCAGTTTGTTTTGTTGAACATATTCTCTTCGCTCTAGAGAAAAGTGTTTTCCCCAGCGTTCGTTTGTATCTCACCCGGTAGAGGCTGTTGAAATTCAAGTAAAAACCTCTCCTTGCGTCTTTACGATATACATATTTCTCGAGTGTCTCGTCGTATTTCATCCCTAACTCTTCGTCCAAAAAATTGGACTTTTCATCATCTTCATGCTCCATCGTGAAAGTGATGCTTTTGTGTACATTGTTGAAAGAGTCTAATAAAGACGAAGCGTGACTGAAATCATTGCATACGATGAATCTGTCATCAACGTATCTATTGTAGCCTGCTGTTTCGTCAGCTGCACACTTGAGTTTCGTCTCTTCCAGATTAGCCGTTGAAATATCAGCTAATATCGGACCCAGCGAACTCCCCATTGCCACACCATCAACCTGGCGATACATTTTGTTGTCAAACTGGAATTGTATGTCATTAGTACATAACACGAGGAGGTGCTTAAATTCCAGTCTTGGTAGAGGAAGAAGATCAGAGTGCTGACAGATGGTGTCTAATATCTCATGCAGAGGGATTTGCGTGAATAGAGAACTCACATCGAAGGAAACCATGATTTTGTCATGTACAATGAGTCGATTCACACCTTCAACAAATTCGAACGAGTCTTTTAGAGTATGTTTAGCTAGACGTTGTCTGACAGGTTCTATTCTGCACCAATGTTTCTTATTTCTATGTTCTAATTTATAAAAGGAGCCATTGCATGAAATGGAGATGAGCGTCCAAAATAAATTATGTAGTAGGCAAAACAATACGAAAAATACTTGTACTTGGAATTATATCTGTTAGAAAGACGGGGTATAATTCCAAATTCAACTGTTTTGTTAATGAGTACTATTTTTGCATTTTTCATATGACATTTTTTTAATTCTTTTACGTTCTCAGTGGAACATAGGGCTTCAAGCAAGAGGCTTGAAGTTTCGGTAGCAGTGGTGTTTATTTTTGCGGGATAGGGTTGTTAGCTTCATACCCAACCTTCCCTCTTTTCCAGTTTTATTACTAGCTTAGCGAGGTAAAGGAGTATGTCGGTCGGAGATAGAAGCCTGGACCACCTGCTTGGTTGACTAGCATTCTACCGCTGTGTTAGAGACGCCTCTGACATTTTATTTACACTTTTTTTCCTAATTAGCCCTTTATTTACTTTTTCTATTTTAAACACTTTTATGTTTTTCATTGTCACTTGCTCAGGCCATGTCATAATACAATCTATGTGATATTTTCCTGCGTTAAGCTGTGATATTAAGCACAATAAATTACGGACCCGAATAACTCCTCAGTGGTAACATCTCTGACTGCAACAGTCACAAAATGACATGGCTTTGAAGCTCAAAAAGGAAACGGGTTCCTTATAGGTTTCAGATACGCCTTGAGGCTAGTGAGTGCCCACAGGCACGAAACCTAAGTCATGTTTTGCTTCCTGTCGATTTCTTCCAACCACCTCATAATAACAACAGTTCCGATTGCACCATGGTGAAAAGACACCTTGACCGGTGACCACATTTCAAACTTGACCGGTAGAATTCAGTCTGCACTGAAATCAAAGATTATATGCATAACAGTAGCTAGTTACTACCGAATTTCCATGACGTTTCAAGAAAAAACATTTTTCAACTTCGCTTACTAACTGCTAGCAGTTAAAGAACCAATGAAAACCAGGTAGTACTGTGTAGTACTCTCTGGTAGAACTTATAGTTCACAGGCTATTGGGTTCCATACTAGTAGCTTTAAAATCCCAATTGAGTCACATGAAAAAGAGAAGATGTTCAGCGAAGAGACTCTTTTCGGTGAATTCATTCACTAAGCTGTACAATCGCATTTATATATGATTATTTGTGTGTGTGTGTTCCTGTGTACATGAGGCTTGTCAAGTTTAGATAACTTATCAGGTAATACAAGAATGATCTAATATAGAAGCAAGGTTAATTAGACAGCAACCTGTCTGTATGCAGAGTGAATCGCCATTGCCTCTGCAGTTTGAAGAAGTCTGATTCGTACACCTTTAGAAAGACTACTTTGTATGCTGCAGACGACTTTGAAGTTTGTTTGGGGTGTATCTTGGTGTCCGGAATCTGTCAGATGCTGTAAGATGGAGCTGCGAGGGTATAGTTTTTCTGTATTGTAAAACTATGTTGGTAAGTGTTCGGTGATACGTTTGGAAAGCGAACGCTAGGTTCGGCCGACATACCTGGCTCAACACGAGCAGGGGAATTGATAAATACACATTGATGAGGCCAGCAGTGGTAGCTTATCCTTCATATTCACATGAATCATAGGTTTTGTGAAGAAGGTTAGTTGTAGTTCAGCTGCAAACAAAGTTTTCTTAAGTGAGAGCGACAGCCGATTTTTCACTGTTTCCGCAGATATATCTCCATTGAGTTGAAGGTTCATGTAGAGTAGTTTTTTCAAAACACTAAGCATGGCCCGATTTTGAGGTCTAGGATTCATGGATGTTGCAATAAATCGTTCTGGATAATAATTCTGGACGAGGATTCTCTTGAGATTGTCCAGTTCATCTTCTATGATGTCCAGTGTGCGAACTCTGTAGCTGAGTGAACGGATCAGGTTTCTTTTGGTTTGCAGAGGTAGCCAACTGTGAAAGTTCTAATTTAAATATCATTATTCTTTACCCTGCTTCTACTTAGTCTCTACCTTTTAAATACCTATATTGCTATCCTGACTTAAGTTGAAACATTTTAGTGAATTATATTATGCCATCTAACTTACTAACTCAATCTTTCTTTAGTTGCTGTCTAATTAACCTTGTTTCTACATTAGATCATTCTTGTATTACCTGATAAGTTATCTAAACTTGAAAAACCTCATGTACTCTTACACAAATAATTATATATAAATGCGATTGTACAGCTTAGCGAATAAATTCGCCGAAAAGAGTCTTTTCGCTGAACGTCTTCTTTTTTCAATACTAGTGTCTCAACAGCCAACGAGCTTGACTTGCATCCAGAAGATGTTGGTTTCAAATCCCGGTCGGTGTGTGTGTGTACTACCAATAAGTCACAGACACTTAGACAAATCAGCTGTCCAGTACTCCCCCGGCGGTTTCAAATGATTCTGTAACTGATATTGATCTGCGCTCAAACTTGAAACAAATCAGATCCTTTTTTAATTGGAAGTAGTAGGACAATGAGACTAGATAACCTGTTATTCAGATAAAATCAGTCCAGTACACAAATGGCTAATTTCATGCAAATTTGCTGTCTAAGATTATGTCATTAAATGTAAAAGTGAAAAAGACATGTGAATGAAGTATCTTATTTTTACGTTCTCAAAATCACTCGAATTTCAGAGACTAAACGAAATAATAAAGTATTGAGTAGCAAGCAAAAATTATTTAGTGCCATCTGTTTTTTCAGCAGTCTGACACTACAAAATACTGTAGCTACAGAACCTAGATTGAATTTTAAAGTTCTGCACATACTTTCTTTAAAGAATATTTTACAGGGTTTGTTTGTAGGGAACTGAATGTTCCAATCTTAATCATGGATTGATATCAGTTAGGGAACCATTTCAAACCAACATGAAATACTAGAGAGCTGTTTTGTCCTAGTACTTACGACTCGTCCGCACCCATCCCGTTCCGAACCCCGATGACACTGGCTGATGATCATACTGAAATCATGAATTGACAGAAGCTAACATTTATTAGTCCTGAAGGCTGAATGATATACGAGGTTTCCTTATGACCGGTAAGTCAAGGATTTGGACCTCAGTGGATGGGTGCCTACTGGCTTTGAATCTTGATAACTTGAGCGAAGCAGCTGTGCAGTACAACCCAGTGGTTTGCAATGGTTCTTCAGCTGGTATCGATTCGTCGGCAAATTCGAATATTTTCCTACTTGCAAATACAAAACTGAGACTCATTTTACTACAAGTTACATGCTGTGAAGAAATAGAAAATAATTGTAAATATTTTTCTCAGATGTTCTTGTTTTTTTAATGTTTCTGAAATCTAAGAGTCAAAGGACAGTTTACTGTTCAGCATGTTTGTTTATATTAAGATTTTCAATTTTAGGCTGCCAGTAGGCAATGACACTATGGACCCATGATTACTTGAACTTGTCCTTAAACTTAGTTTATTTTAATTTCGACCAACTGAAATAAAAAAAAAACTAGGCCTTATTTGAAACTTTATCTTTTAGATTAAAAATTACCGAATTATCTTTTTCATCACTGTTTATTTAAATTTTGTGTTTATTTAGGTATCTGTACAGATTCGTGTGGTATTCTTGAAAATTGGTGAAATTGACACATTGAAAGAGATTTATCATGCCGACGCGTTTATTCAAGCCAAATGGAGAGAACCACGTTTAGATGGTAAGACAGATGAGGTGAGTGAGAATGTAAACACTTCACAGTGATAACGATTGTTTAGCCTGTAAAGTGTGCACATTTTTATGCTTTTTAAATATTGTATAATTTATAAGAATGTACATTGCACTGAATGAAACTTCTACTGGTATTTTTTATCAGAAATAAATGTAAGTTACATTTCAATTTCTTCGGGTTCAATATACCTCCCAGGAATTCTGTAAGTGTTTGCTGTAAACCACTTAGAGTACAGCTTACTAGTGATAACTGCAAGATATTATCATAATTCTTACATTTGTATCATATGAAGTTCTAACGAATAAACAAATTACTATAGCACTGTATTCTACCACATTACATAGGCCTTTCGCCTACATTTTAACTTTTAACAATAAAAATATAAGAAAACACCCGAGGTGATAAAATGCAGAGTATTCTGAACACCTTGAGAAGTAAACTCTGTACTTTTGGCGCGAGATTTACCTTTGTCAGATGCATGATGAGGATACAGGACTGGACTACATCGACTCGTAACTTGAAGATAGAGAGTGAAGCTGTAACAGAGTTTTGACCGCTTTACTTATTCGGGAAGTTACTTTAGCCTCAGCAGGTTGATTTCTGACGAAATCTCAGCACAGATACAACCTATGCCATCTGTGACATAAACGCGATATCTGACTGACTATCGATCAAAGGTTGTTTATGCTGCGCGCCAGTTAGTTTCATCCCCCTTTGTAACTGTAAAACCGGTTTACTGAAAGTGGAAGACATGAACAGACTGTCTGTATTTTGTTATGGATGTATGCGTTCTGCCTCTTCTGTTAGATGGTACGATAGGGTGAGTAATATTGAGGTTAGACGTTTAGTGTTAGGTAAGGAGGGAAAGTGAACCAATGAGGTTATGAAGCCGCATCGACTGAGATGGTTAGGATATGTTTAACGTGTGCCCAGCCGTCGCTTTCCTTGATGGTGGATGTTGGCTGACATAGAAACGGTCAGGTTGGACAAGAGCTAGTGCTGGACAAACCAGGAGGTAGAATCACTCTATGAAAATTTTAACAGTTAATATCAGTCAGCCCCGTAGGAAATTGCAGACTAGCACGGTGGGGATTATAGAGATACTAAGAACCAATGGCTGCAGACGACTTATGGTATGGCTCAAAATTGTTCTCAGTGGCACGAAACCAATCACTCTTTTAGATTTCCTATATTCACTAAACTTCATTGTTTTTGACATGTTACTAGTCTTTCTTCTTCACGCTTCTGCTTGTTATTATTCTTTTGAATCTCTTATATTATTACTTCAAACATTTTTAGTATGACCCATCGATTTCGACAGGTTGGAATTACATATAAAAGCATTCAACAATGCTATTTTATACAAAGAAACCAATTTCTAGCTGAGTCACATCGGGTACATTGCTGATAAGCTCGGTCCCAAACGAGCGAAGCAGGCGAATAGCGAGCAAGCACTCCTGGTTGTTATAAGTGGCTCGCAACTACTTAATCAAACATCAGTGGGTAGTTTTATGCATCTCTCATTAACTTGTAATGAGCAGTAGTCCTACTAACTGTGCATTGGCTAAACATGGCACTTATAATATTCTTTTGCTTTATGGTCCACTAAGGGGACTTGTCCGGGGTTTGATCCCCGGCCGACGCACTCCTTTACCTCGCTAAGCCAGAATTAATCCTGGTAAAGAGGAAAGGTTGGGCATGAGGCTAGCAACCCCATCCTGTAAAATAAACACTGCTTCAGAAACTTCAAGCCACTAGCTTGAGGCCTATGTTCCTCTGGGAACGTGAAGGAAAAAATAATAAATATAAATAATAATAAATAACGGGACTTGTCTGAATCCCAGTAAGATCTTTTGTGTTTTCTGAAACTTGAGTTTGGTAACTGTCGTCTGAAATTAAAGCGTACTTTCCATCATTCCATTTAGTTATATTGGTCAGTAAATAAGACTGTAAAGAATAACCACTTGTTTTCAAGTCTTCGGACTTTTCGCTATATCATCTTTTAGTATACGCGCAGGTGGAATTGGAAAAACAAAATGTGTGGTTACTCAACGTTTGAAGAGAACGAATCAGTCAAGGAGAAATGAAGTTATGCTGAGGAAACTATTTGGTAAAGTCGTACGCCAGACCAGCTCTCTACTGGAGCTCGAGTGGGAAACGGCCATTTGGGTCTGTTTCCTAGGGTAATAAGGAAGAGGTAGTGTGAGGAGCAGATGACAACCCATGGACAGTCATTGGGCTTGATAAAGAAGACTTCAGAGAACATGATAAAGTGGAGACGAGCTTTTAAAGCCCTTTGATCCACTCGGGAACCAAGGGAATAATAATATAATATAACTTATAATCAGCGTTCGCTTACTATTATTACAGATTAAGGGATATGTGCGGTAAAGTATAGTAAAAACTTTGAAAATCTGGTGGCGGTGATCAGTTTTCAACTCTGCAGACATGTGAGACTGTCCAATGCAACATTTACAAAATGTTTAAAGATTCTGATATGTGAACAATATTATTTTCAAGTATTGGTTTATAGGGATTTGAATGATTGGTTACTGGATTTCATCATGAGCTGACATCGTTAAAAGAACTATTGGAAAACCTGGAAATACCGGAAAAGTGTTTAGTCCTAGCAGGCCGGGCGTGAGGACAACTACTCGCCGAAGACATTGGCTAGCGGTCACGCTATGTCGTTAAATGGCAGGAGTTGGAATTCATGGAGTGGCGATTGGATCGAGTCACAGTGGCTTAATGGTCTACGAGTTAGCTCGCTTTGTAACCAGAAGGTCTTAAGTGCAAATCCTGTTGGTGGGTGCGCTGTCCAGTACTCCCAGGTTCTCAGTGGTTCTCTAGTTAATGTCAGCTCATAATGAAATCCAATAACCAATATTATTTTTAATCACATCTCATCAGACATTCCTCTGAGCTGATGAGGTCTAGTTGAAAATACTATTATTCGCTTTCACGTGTTGTTCTCAGCTTACACAAACATTCAAAAAAAAGCATACTATGTTTTATGTCATTCTCATGTGGGAAACATTATTCAAATATCACTATCATCAAACGTTGAAAACATAACATTCCAAAAAATTGTATTTATACTTATAGCTGTAATATTTGCTTTATATATATTTCAGTGTCTACGTAAAATAGACTTACAACGCTGTTGGAATCCTCTTATACTAATTGATAATATATTGAGTGAATCAAAAGAACAACACTGGATTATGACAGAGAAAACTGAAAATGGTGAAATTTATATTGTTGAACGTCGCCGACTTAGAGGTGTATTCTTAGAGACATTAGAATTAAACGATTTCCCATTAGATGTACAAGTAAGTGTGAATTTTATTTATATATCAACTTAATTTTATTGGTTTAAATAAAAGTTCATACAGTTTTGTTTGTTTTTAAAAGGAAAGTGCAAATTGGTTGTAGGATAGTATTAAAAATAGCCTCCTTTATCTCTGGTTATTTCCCTAAAATCTGTCAGTCAAATGTAAAAACATATTTGGCCGTCAGAAAACTGCTAATTAATGTAATAAATAGACGAAATGCAGTATGGTTTGATAGTGGACTGTATGTTTTCTTCTTGGTTTCTTATCAACCATATATCTTATAAAAAAACTACTGATAGTAAATAATGTGAAATGTCAAGTTTGATTAGATGGAGGGTTTCATCATGATCTGACATCACTAAGAGAATCATTACGAAACCTGTGGAGAGTACTGGACAGCCAGTTGTTTCCTCAGCCTAGTTTTAGAATCTTCATCAGCACTCACCCACCAAATAAGGTTTGAAACTAGGATCTTCTGGTTACAAGGGGAGTTAGCCGGTAGACCATCAGGCCACTGGGACCTAATCCAATGACCGATCCATCAATTCCAACCTCTGCCAATTCACAACATAGAGAAACCATTTCTCTAATTTCTTTTTCAATGAGTTTGAGACTGTGAAGAATCCGAAACTGGGATGAAACAGCTCTCCAGTACTCCCTGCAGGTTTTTCAATGGTTCTCTAACTGATGTCAGCTCATGATGAAATCCTCCATCCTATCAAACAAAATCACTGCACAACCAATACTAGAAAATGTCAAGTTTACAAACTTTGAAAAGGCTTTTGACAGTGAAGAAATAAGAAAAACACTTCAACACTATGGACAGCAGTTCCCTTAATCTTCATCAATTTCATCCAACAGGTACTTGACAATGATAGCCACATGTCAAGAGATCTACAAGGAAAAACTCAGACCAGCTTTTGAAGTGAAGAGATGCGTATAGTAAGGCTTGATATGACTATCAATGATATTTCCAATTGTAGTGGATTGGAGTACACAGAACACTGTACATGGCGAGTGAGAAGACAGGAATACGTTGGCCGACCAATAAGAAGACTCCAGAAGACCTGGATTTTGCGTCTAATGTCACACAAACTCTAAGACCTAAAGTTGAAAACTAAAAATTGCACAAAAGAAGCAGGCGGAGAAGACAGGACTTTAAATAAACATAGAGGAGATGGAGGTGACGGAGATAACGAACCAACCAAACAACAACAACAACAACAGAAAGCACCAATCACTGCCAATGGAATAAGTTTCACTTATATAGGCAGCATCGTTTCAACTACAAGCAACATCACCGATGTATTTGTCGAAGCAAACTAGGATCTGAAAGGTGAGAAACACCTTCATCACTCTGAAATAAGCCTGGAAGCTTTTCACTAAGCATAAATAACAAAATTTGGATTTCCAACACCAATTTTGAGTCATTCGATTCTTCTATATGGGTGAGAAACGTGGAGCATGCGTCAAGAAAAGCATTTCAAAAGACTACTGCTGTTTTTAATCAATAGTTGGTTTCTGTGGCTCCACATTGAAGAGCAGGCAGCCAGAAAACGTTAGCAACAAGGAAGTTTCAGAACGAACTAGTCAGGAACTTATTGCACAAAAAATATATGGAAGCGAATATAAACTGATCGGACACATAGCTCTAGGCCATCGCTCGAATGGGACACGAATGGGAATCGACGAGTTAGTAGTGGGTTCGAGGTTCACATGAATGACATCATGTGAGGATGAGAGAAGAGATTGTGAGCGATCTTAGGGACAGCCAAAGAGGACAAAACAGAGATATCTTGTCGAATCACGGGATTCCACAGTAATAATATAATAAATGGGAAACAACGTTAAACACTGTACAATTATCGTAATTACCCAGTTATAGGTAGTAACGTCTTAAATAAAGGGAACATAAAACTGATTAAGATACTGGTCTAATACAATTTACAAAAATATATGAAGCTGTTTTCCATACCCCGGATACTTTGCAGCTGTCTTAACGTACATATATATATGTATTTCCCAACTCAGCAAAACTAATTTTCCTAAAATATGAACACGCGTCGCAGGGATCTACAATGTTATTCAATTTTTTCTGACAGATTATCTTTCGACGTTTTTAAAAAAGTATAATTTCTGTAGAGACTTCAGAAATATCTATGAAACAGTTGTTCTAAATGGTGAATTCAGGTACTGAACATTCTGCCGTTTGTCTCAAAAGCATATAAAATTCCAGTGTCTCTTAGCGATTAATTCAATGATTTCAATGATGTTTCAGTCATGAGCTTCAGTTGATTCGGTGTTTGAATGAAGGAAAAACAACAGTAGTTTGTTCACAAAAAGGTCGTACCATCGTCATCAGTTGTGTACAGTCTAAAGAGATTCTTAAGTTTACATATACAGAACAATTTTAACATACTCCAGAGTATTGCGTAACGTCAGTTGACAAGACACTCAAAAAGAAAGAAGCGGTTATCAGCCTTTCCTGAACCTGGTCACTGAATATCTTCATTACCTCTTTCATCCGATTATGCAATTGTCAGCTTTGACGTATCCCTCTTTTGCTACAATTTAACTTTGTTTGTCTCTTGTTTCTTTGATTTGACTTGGACTCACTACATTGCCTCTCAATCTATTAGTTGGACATCATCTTATTTACCTGTGTATTTAAAACGTAACACTTTTGCCACTTCACCTATCTCATTGTTTAAACTTGAACTCTCTACGTTTAAACTATACAGGTGTAGTTTTTTGAGCACTGTTTATTAAATTTGGAGTCTCCTATCAGCCGATATTACCTAGCATTTGCAAGAGGTGGCCCTCGTGACCCAAGTGGTCTAGTGGATAATGCTATGGCGTTTGAAACTATGGGCACTGGCTTCAAGCCTCGGTGGGAACATCATCACTGACTCACTGGGAAATGCAGGTGCATCCAGTTGACCACGAGCCCCAAATAGGACAAAAAGTGCATTCTGGATTCCACTGCTAGTCACCATCCACCAATTAAATACTAATTGAATGTCCAGACATTGTCGAAGCATCTGCACAAGAAGTCGACATGTCAACCTGAGACCGAGCACTTCGGTCTAATCAATAGACGGGAAAATCTAAAATTCACCTAAACTCTGGTGTTTGTTTGATGCTACTGAACCATGAAATTGAACATACAGAATCTGGGAATCACATTGGGCACTAATAGTTGCAAAGCATCAAAGTGCATTCTATAAGGCTATTGAAACATGAACTTGTTACTTATGTTATTTGAAATAATAGAAAAGATTTGTAACTCAGGTGGATGATTTGGAATTGATAGTGTTCTCTGAGCTCCTTGGTTTAATTGCGGAGCTTTCATCGTCTTTCTGGACGACATCTTCAGCGCAGTATTTAGGATAAAGTGAAATGATTTAAATTTCTTCATGAGTCTCCCGGTAACCATCTTTAGATATTTATTGACCGTTTTCTATTGATTGGGATTTTAAACTTTCTGATCACCTGATTTACTTCTTATTAGTTGGTATATTTCATCTATATTAACGTGTTTATTAATTGCGTTTTCATTTGAGTACCAGGCTTCTAGGAATTCTCTGGCACATTTGGTGTTTCCTCTGTTTAAGATTTTGACATTATCCCAATCAAATTGATGTCCATGATCGTCTGAATGTATTGATACTAAAGAATTTATATCATGTCTTTTCACGGCTGATTTGTGTTCCTGGATTCTTATTCGAAGGGGACGCCCACTTTGGCCGATGTAATGTTTGTTACAGTTCACACAATTTATTTTGTAAATGGTGTTAATTTTATCTCCCTTTTCTATCGGATCTTTTGGTTTGCATAAGATAGAATTAAGCGATTCAGCTGGTTTGTGTGCTACATCTATATCAAACGGTTTCATTATTCTAGCCGTTATTTCAGAGATGTTTCTGATATATGGTAGGATGAATTGCTTTTTGGTCTTTGGTGATGGTTCTTTGTTGGTGCTTTCATTCGATTTTAAACACTTTTTGATGAAATTTTTTGGATAACCATTCTTCTTGAACACCGTTTGTAAGTATCTTTCTTCCATTCTTTTCAACTCTGGTGTGCTACAATGTGTTTGAATTCTTCTAAACAATGTCTGCACACAGTTTCTTTTGTGAGTAATTGGATTGTTGCTAGTATAGTTGAGTATTTGATCTGTGTGCGTTGACTTTCTGTATACTTGTGTTTCTAAATTTCCTGTGTTGGTTCTCCTGATTAAGACATCTAAAAATGGGATTTTGTTATCTAACTCTTCTTCTCTTGTGAATTTGATGTCTTCAAATATGTTGTTTATTAATTTATGGGTATATTCTAAATCATTTCTCTTAATTATTACAAATGTATCATCAACGTAACGTACCCAGATTTTCGGTTTAATTATAGGTAGAGCTATTAATTCTAATCTTTGCATAACGGCTTCAGCTATTAATCCTGATATGGGCGATCCCATTGGTGCTCCCTTTATTTGCTCATATATTTGAGTATTAAATTGAAAGTATGTTGTAAGGCATAATTTTATGAGTTCTATCCAAGTTGAACATTGCGTTTTTATGTTTTCATCACTATAGAGTAATCGTTGCATAGTTTCTGTTGCTAGTTTTGGACTAATCGAAGTATATAATGCTGTGACATCAAAGGACACCATTATTTCATTGTCTTCTACCTGAATGTTTTTGATTTTCTCTAGAAATTGAATTGACGAATTGATAGAATGGTCGCATGATTCTGTTAGGTAATTTAACTTCCTGAAAAGTTCTCTAGATAGATTATATGTTGGTGTTCCTGGAAGCGAAACGATTGGTCGTAAGGGGATGTTCGGTTTGTGTAGTTTTGGTCTACCATAAAATCGAGGTAAAATGGGTCCGTTAGATCTCATTCGCCATTGATCTTGTTCTGTAATTTGTCCTGATTTCGTGTGCCAGAGAATTCCTAGAAGCCTGGTACTCAAATGAAAACGCAATTAATAAACACGTTAA